AAGGAGGCGGGCGCGGAGGAGATGGCGGCGTTGGGTCACGGCCAAGGAGGCGGGCGCGGAGGATATGGCGGCTTTGGGGTCGCGGCCAAGGAGGCGGGAGCGGAGCGGCGTTGGGGTCACGGCCAAGGAGGCGGGCGCCGTTAGGTCTCGGCCAAGGAGGCGGGCGCGGAGGAGATGGCGCCGTTGTGGTGTTGGGGTCGTCGCCTCTAGAGAGAGGAGGTGGGGGATTTCAGATTTGAGTTTGTTTGAGAGAGAGAGAGAGAGAGAAAAATGGAGCTGATGGTTTTTGGGGGAAGAGAGAGCAGATCACGGGAGGGAGAGAGAAAGTTGAGAGTGGAGGGTTTTTTTTGCAAAAATACAACAACTAACTATTATGGACAAATTTTCAAAACCGACCACTTTGGGATTTTAATTGCAAAAAACGACCCATTTCAATCTTATTTATAAAAACCGACCCAGTTGGTTGAAACTGGGTCGGTTTTTAAAAAAAAAATTCCCAAACTTCACGGGAGTTCAACTCCCGTGAAGTTTTGTTATGAGAAAAACTTCACGGGAGTTCAACTCCCGTGAATTTGCCACAAAGAAAAAATATTACAAAAACCGAACGCTGTTTTCAAGCCCCTAGGCTGAAACAGGTCGTTTTTGTATAATATTCACAAAACCGACTTGTTTTTGACATTAAAAACGCCAAAAAGGGTCGTTTTTTTGAAAATTTGTACACGCTAACTATTATGCTACTCAAAGTAGATGGAGCGGATGAGATGAATGCACAGTAGGTCTTAGGGCGAGCACGATCATCCAAGCCCTCTCAGTCTATATATATAAAGGTGAAGAATGGTAGTACCAAACACAAATTTTGTGCTTGGTAGTATTACAGTCTCATCCACTCACCACTACACATCTAGTAATGTGTACCCATATAGATCGAGTGGAAGGGGATGTGACACATCACTACCAATCGACGGACCAAGCATAATATAAATGAAAAACTCTTTTGTGAGCCTTGATACAAGCATACCAAAATATTCGCTAACATATGATATATTTATATATAATAATAATATAGTATATATTATATATAATATATATAGCAATGAGAGAAAGAGAGAGAGAGAGAATGAGTATGCTTGGTACCAAAGCACACAAAAAAGTTGATGGCTTGGTAGAGTGGAGCGTAGCATAATCCCCTACCAACACATTCAAATGGTTCATATCCAATAGCAACTCCTCAAGCCCATCGTGAATGTGGATCCCCCATTTGAATGAGATGAGGGGATTGTGCACCTCACTACCAAAGCACAAAAATTATGTGGCTTGGTACCTGGACCCGTCTTGTGTAAGAAGCATACCGATCATTCCTCATAATATAGCTATAGTATATATAGTATATATATATATATACTAGTTCTTATGCGCGTGCAATGCACATGGTTAAATATCAAAATAAATTTTTTTAATTAGTTTCTTACTATAAAATAAGGCAGATTCATTTTGAGTTAAAATCTATAAACATGGATTATTATATTTACCATAAAATTTATTTAATATTTTTAGAAAATTTATGAAATGGATGATTAATTTTAAAAATCTATTGGGGCCAGAAATAAGCAACTAACAAGTTTGCAGTGAAAGTTAGGGGAACATAGTACATTTTTAAGAATTATTAATCTTTACTTAGTTTGTTTATAATGATATGATCTCATTATTAACTAACTACAAGGCCTAATACATTATTATTTTTGTTGGGCCCATGTGAGTCCTCGTTGCAATGAATGGTATACAAATTAAGTACAACGGAAAAATACAGGGTGATCAATGGTGTAGGTGGTGAGGACAAACTCCAACAGCTTAATTTGGTATGTGTATATGTTATAGATAGAGATTGAGAAGAGTTGTTTTGAAAAATAGCGGGTGCGTGTGGGTAATTAATACGGTTTTTGTTCGTGTGGTTTTCTTTATTCATTTTTAAGATATCTGTGGTCATGTGAATATATAGCTATAACGTTGCTATTATCTTTTGATTTTGTGGAAGAGTTTGGGTGTTAAAAAAATTTAAATTATCTAATCCGGTTAAAGTAGGATCATATAAGTTAAGCCCATACATGAAATTTATTTAAACCAACACCTATGTGTAAATATTACAATTGACATTGAAATCTAAAATATGCACTGCAACAGAAAAGCTAATCCGCGAGGAACAAGTTTGTCGTTGAAAGTCGAGATTTCCTCGCTGTAGTGTGTTGGTGAGGAAAAAACTTTGGTTAGCATTTCCTCGCGGTAGGGTGGTTAAGAAAAGTTTCTGCGAGGAATACTATAATTTCTCGCGAAATCCTTTTCGCGGTGAATATATTCTTTTCTCGTTGTTACTCTTTAGCATCGATATTTTTCCTCACCTAATCTCATACCTTTTTCATCGCTAAACTACAGTTTCCTCGGCAATGATACGTGAATAATATTTAATTTATATATAATAAAAGTAATAAAAAACTATTTTCGTCGTTGTAAGTATCTTTCAGCGAGGAAACTGTTCCTCACCAAAGGTAAATCTTTAACGAGGAAATTAATTTTCTTTATTATATGTATCTTTTTCTCGTGAAAACAGTTTCTCAGTAAAGGGACTCAAAGACGAGGAAATTTAAATTTGTCATTGTAGGCTGTATCCCATATTCCTCGCTAAAAAAATTTAATTACGAGGAAATTTACATTTGTCGATATAGGTTATATGGTCTATAGCGAGAAAAATTATTTTTGCTATTATAGGTTGTATCACTATAGCGAGAAAATATGTTTTTGTCGACGTAAGCAGTATACTCTATAACGATGAAATATTCTTTTGACGACGTAAGCAGTATACTTATAATGAGGAAATTTTATTTCTTCAATAATAATGCTATTACGAGAAAAACACTCAAAATATAAATAATTGTCATCAATTGTCACCACAGTACATCAAAATAATTAAAATAAATAAAGCAAGCAAGCTTCTACCATAAGTAACAATGCTAGTCTAAAGCAATAACAAATGCAACACGATCAAAGAAACATTTCTCCAAGTTTAAGTTCACTAAGAATACTAAGCTGATGGATGTTTCCTGGAAAAATTAGTCATAAACTCCTCAAACTTTTTGGCTTGCTCCTCTAATCTTTGGATTACCTTATTTTGCGCGTCGATCTTTTGTTGTTGAGTTCCTACAAGTTGTTGGGTCTCTTGAAGCTATTCTTGCAACTTTTTATTCTTTTCAGACATTTTACTCATCGAAGAACGAGAGAACCTTAATGGTGATGGTCTAGGGCCAAAACCACAGCCCTTAATGTAGCCTGATTTGACTTTGAGAACTTTTGCACAAATTTCCTCATCTGTCATTGTTCGAGTTCCATCAGGTTGAGTGGTATCTGTTCGCATCTTTATCAATTGATCCTATAAGTAAAAAAATATATCTAGTTCAATCATATGCAACTTCTCAATTACAACCTAATCAATATAATCCTTTTTAGAACAGTAATATCAGTTTCACCTATATTCTTAAAATATTATAAAAGCATGCATCATTGACACGTTACTTACCCATTTTACCTTTGCTCCCAAGTCTCATCCTTTTTTGTGCTTCTATACTCTGTTTCAAAACGATTAATTACACCTTGCATCTCTCCAGTCTGTGCTGCCTATTGCATTCAAACATATTTTCTTTTTCAGCATATATATGTACATAATTAAGTTACAAATTTATAAGCAAAACTAAAAAGTGTCTTACAATTTGCTCTTGGTGTGACATAAATGATTTTGACCCAGCTTTGTGGTGATATGTCAACTTTGACCTATTAAGAACATTGACCCAGCTTTGTGGTGATATGTCAACTTTGACCTATTAAGAACATTCTTCTCTGAGCGAATCTAAAATTTTTAAGACATACAGTTAGAAAGAAGTAAATGAAAAAAGAAAAAATGTAATACGTGGAGAAAAATAAAAAAAAAAGATATTGTACCTTAAACTTTTCACTAGAAAAATGAGTGTAAAGAAACTCTTATTCTTCCTGAGTCTTGACAGCTTCATGTTTGTTTTCAATTGCCTCAATTGTTGAAAACTGCTCAAAATGTTTCTTCAACTTATAGCGAAAATTACAATATACGATCTGACATGTTGTAATTACATATCTCTGAACCCAAGGGAGTGACATGTCAAATTCAAACTTATTCTGCACATGCATAATTTCATGTCAAACTAAATATAACAAATCAAAGCAACCAATATAATGCCTTTAGCAAAACAAATCATCACTAACTTGCATTCTTTTGATCAAGTTCTCCACATCTGCTTTTTCAATCTTCTTCCATTTTTCCACATTCAGTAGGGGCGTAGTTTCAAATTGTGTAACCAATTTCATTTGCAAACATCTCAGCATAAGGGCCCGTAGGTCTACCATTTTCTTTAGTCAGAGTCACATGTATTTTAGAATTCAATTGGGAGAACACCTTATCTGCATTCACTCCTCTTGTCTTCCCTCGCACCTTTTTGGTTGTACCTTTGACATATTTTTTATTAAGAACGTAACACATACGTATATTTAATTCTCAAAATCTATGTATATAATGTTTTGTATACCTGGAGGAGGCTCCTGATTAATATCTGACATCACATTATCATCTCGCTCTTCAGCTATGGTGTTTACCACTGGCTGATCATTAGCACTTTGTTGCTGAAGACGTGCAGAATAGTGGGTATACGTTGTCAGCTCACTTGGGTAAAAATGAGCAAATAAAAGATGTGTAAAACACACCATAAATTATCAGGTTTCCATGTATAAGGTTCAAAAGATTCAAAATAAAGTCCAACTACCAAATAGAAGGTTCAAAATAACTTAAGAATGTGTTCTGAACCTTATAGCTTAAACTCCGACAAATTTATTCTTGCTTAGCTTGTAAAACACACCATAAATTGGTACATGGCTGATAAGGACAAGCTAAACAGTTATGCCCAAACAGAATGCAACAAAGAAAGACTGATAGAGGCCTGTCTCAGTGCTAAAATAGGTGGGGATGGCATCTATGAAACATGACAACAAAAGCTTCAAAAGCTAGATCAAAAAGCACAAATAGTCAATACAATGCATATATGTTTCATATGGAGGTGGTTTCCATGTATGCTAGTATCTACACTAATTTATCCATGTATCCTTTATTCCCCATTCAACAAGGAAAGTATCTAAAATATGATCAACATACAACCCTCCTCAAAGGTTTATATATCACTCAGTACTGCATACAGTATTATCAGGAAAGGAAATGCAGGAAAAAGTAGCAACCCCATTGGTAGGAGCCGAACTCAAAGCATAGAATCATGAAAGCACGATGCGACACTAGCACAAAAGCAATCTTAATTATAAGAAAGGTTGAAAGAATTACTTCATCAATTCAAATTCACCATCCGGAGGCACAAAGTTGGACTGTCTTTTCTGAGTTGAACCTCGTTAGATTTACACACTGATGAAAAGTGACATCATCAAGTTCAATGGTCTTGCCACTGGGGAAAGGGGAAAACTATTAGTTTATTCTAAACTGCCATGCTAAAGAATCAAAGAAGCTAGATAATTGAAGCAGTAACGTCTTAATATTAAAGGGATAGGCAAACAAAACCATGGAAACCAACAGAATTAGTCAGTGGCATCAATTGTTGATGATTATTAAATGGAGCGAGCAGTATGAATTTCCATTTTAGCAAACCTTTTCCCAACAAAATATGACTTATATACCAATATTGACACCCGTGTTCCCAATGTGAGTGTTTGTCATTAAGACAAATTGACCGGCATAGCTGGGGTCCGTTAAAATTTCTTGATACCTACATTAAAATATTCATATATAACACTATGAAGAAAATTTCTCACAATATGAAGAAAGCAAAAATCAGATAGTTCAGTACCCAGTCAAAGATGTGTTGAACACCACTTCACCGACTTGTGTTCAAAGCAAAAATCAGATAGTTCAGTACCCAGTCAAAGATGTGTTGAACACCACTTCACCGACTTGTGTTCTGGAAGCACCAAATGATTTGGCTCTCCATATGGAACCATCTTCAAGAACAAGTCTAGCATCTGATGTTTTCCATGGCCTATCTGCTAAATCTCAAGGTCATGAACAATATAATGCATCTTTAAATTCTCTAGGAAGAAAAATGCACGACTTGATGATTTTCACAAAGTTAGGCATGTGAACACTAGTCAAGCAGAGGATACTGTAGACACTAAAAAAATGCCAAGGAATAAAGCAAGGTTGAACCTTGCTACAAGCATGACGTGATAGGGGAACAACAATGCAATACGCAACGGAAATAAATTCCCCTTACTTGCAAGAATCTCTGAGGAGCAACACCAAATATAGGGCAGCAAATAGAACAACACAAACACAAAAGAGACACCAAGATTTTAACGTGGAAAACCCCTTAAAACAAGGGAAAAAACCACGGGTCGTCCAGACCAAAGAAATAGCTCCACTATGATCAAATAAGGGTACAATAGAGTCTCCAACAAGCACACAAACCGTGCTAACAATCAACCAAAGAACCACCAAGCACCAATGCTTGCAAAAGAGAAACAAGATGATGAAAATACCCCAAAACAAAGCCACTGTGAGAAGCCAAGATCTCTCACCTCAGACCTCGTCTTGAAAATCCGAACGGTGAGAATGAAGAACCACACGTCCTGAACCTGCTGCACAAATTTCAGCCCGATCCAACGGTGAACGAATCCTCTATCGTGATTTTTGCGGCAGCTGTCTGGTGGGTACACGGATTTGCTATCAGACCTCTATTCTCTTCAAAAAAAAAAAAAAACCCTAATATGACCTCTCTCCACTTAAAAATAAGTGAGACAAAATGGGCTTACACATTTTGGGCCTTTCTCCACATAGGAAGGGAGCCCAAAACCCAACAAATCTCCCCCTCACAACTATGTGGAGATAACCGCCAAACCGGCGATATCACAACAAGTTTCAAACTTCCCTCTTGGTAGTGCTTTAGTCATCATATCAGCACCATTATCATCAGTATGAACTTTAGCCAACTCCAACAGCTTAGCATCCAAAGCATCACGTATCCAATGATACCTCACATCAATATGTTTGGATCTGGAATGGAAGGTTGGATTCTTACCAAGATGAATAGCACTCTGACTATCAACAAACAACAAATATTTGTCTTGAACAAAACCAAGCTCCTGCAAGAATTTCTTCAGCCATAGCAACTCCTTGCATGCTTCGGTAATGGCAATGAACTCTGCTTCAGTAGTGGACAATGCTACACACTTTTGCAACTTAGACTGCCAAGCCACAGCTCCCCCTGCAAATCTAATCATATAGCCTGAAGTGGACTTCCTGTGCAACTTAGACTGCCAAGCCACAGCTCCCCCTGCAAATCTAATCATATAGCCTGAAGTGGACTTCCTGGAATCAATGTCTCCAGCCATATCAGAGTCCGAGTATCCCACCAAAGTAGGCTTATCACCTCCAAAACAAAGCCTCATACCAGCGGTACCACAAAGATATCTCAAAATCCATTTCACAGCATTCCAGTGCTCTCTACCTGGATTAGACAAAAATCTACTGACTGTACCAACAGCATGTGCTATATCTGGTCTTGTGCATACCATTGCATACATCAAACTACCCACAGCAGATGCATAAGGAACCCGTTCCATATCTAATTTCTCAGCTTCATTTGAAGGACTTTGTTTAGCACTCAGCTTGAAATGAGTAGCAAGAGGAGTGCTTACCGCCTTGGCATGTTCCATCTGGAATCTCTGCAACACCCTTTTTACATAGTATTCTTGTGATAGCCATAGCTTCTTCTCCTTTCTGTCACGCATGATTCTTATACCAAGGATTTGTTTAGCAGCTCCCATGTCTTTCATGGCAAATGACTCGCCCAATTGCTTCTTTAACCTGTCAATCCTGGAAATATTTTTCCCAACAATAAGCATGTCATCAACATATAATAACAGGATAATGAAGTCATCGGTAGAAAACTTTCTAACAAAGACACAATGGTCAGAAGTTGTCTTCTTATATCCTTGGTCACACATAACTGACTCAAACTTCTTATACCACTGCCTCGGAGCCTGCTTCAAACCATATAAGCTCTTTCTCAACCTACATACATAGTCTTCCTTGCCTTCAACTTGAAAACCATCAGGTTGCTTCATGTAAATCTCTTCCTCCAAATTACCATGAAGAAAAGCTGTTTTCACATCCATTTGCTCTACCTCCAAATCAAGAGTAGCAGACAAACTCAACACAGTTCTAATGGATGACATCTTTACCACTGGAGAAAATCTCATTAAAATCAACACCCTTTCTTTGACGGAAGCCTTTCACCACTAATCTGGCTTTATACCTCGGAGATGTAGAGTTACTCTCATGTTTCACCCTATAAATCCACCTGTTTTCCAAGGCCCTCTTGCCTTTAGGCAACTTCACCAAATCATAAGTGTGATTATCATACAAAGATTTCATTTCATCTAGCATTGCATCCAGCCACTTTTGTTTTTCTTCAGTCTCCATGGCCTCTTCAAAACACTCAGGTTCTCCCTCATCAGTCAAGGTTACATACTCATCAGAATGATACCTTGTAGATGGTTGTCTCTGCCTGTTAGACCTCCTGAGTTGGGCTTGAGGTGGTTCGGGAGCATCACCAAGATTCTCATCCTGTAACATCTCATGTTCCTCTTCATCATCATCACCTGGAACATCTAACTCATCTCCAAGTTGCTGATCATTAACATAATCATGTGGCTCACCATTCTGGACATTACCATCAATAGTATCCAAATTATGAACAGGCAACCGAACTGGATCAACATCAAACAAATTTCTATCTTTCTTGGGTGTAGTATTCTCCACCTTAACAATGTCTTCAATGGTTTGATCTTCCATAAACTCTACATCACGACTTCTGACAAGCTTTTTCTCAACAGGATCATACAACCTGTAACCAAATTCATCCTGACCATAACCAATGAAGATACACTGCTTTGTCTTTGCATCCAACTTGGATCTTTCATCCTTTGGAACATGCACAAAAACCTTGCATCCAAAGACTCTCAAGTGATCGTACCTGACATTCTTGCCAAACCAAATTTTGTCTGGCACCTCACTGTTCAAAGCAACTGCAGGACTGAGATTAATAACATGTACCGCTGTGTATAGTGCCTCACCCTAGTAATACTTGGGCAACTTAGCTTCAGAAAGCATACATCTCACTCTCTCGATCAATGTCCTGTTCATCCTCTCTGCTAAACCATTCAACTGAGGAGTTTTAGGAGGAGTCTTTTCATGTGCAATACCTTGCTGCTTGCAATAGACATCAAAGGGTCCACAATATTCACCACCATTGTCAGTACGAATGCATTTCAGTTTCTTGCCTGACTGTCTCTCAACCAAAGCCTGAAACTGTTTGAACTTCTCCAGCACTTGGTCTTTTGTCTTCAAAGCATAGACCCATAGTTTCCTGGAACAATCATCAATAAAGGTAACAAAGTAGAGTGCACCACTAAAGGATTTTACCTTCAATGGGCCACACACATCAGAATGCACCAACTGAAGCAACTCTGACTTCCTTGAGGGAGGATGCTTCTTGAAAGATACTCTAGTCTGTTTACCAGCCATGCAATGAGAACACTTCTCCAACTTTGCACTCTTCAATCCTGAAAGCACATCCTTTTTGGCTAAGCAATTTAACCCTTTTTCACTTATATGACTAAGCCTTCGATGCCACAAAGATGCCTCCATATCCACAGCATTCACACTGTCTTTAGCAACCAAAGCTTTTGTCCAATACAGTTTAGAAATTTTCTCCCCTCTAGCAATAACCAAGTTACCTTTGCTGAGTTTCCACTTTCCAGAACCAAAGTGATTATCATAACCATCCTCATCAAGCAATTGCACAGAGATCAAATTAAAGCGGACATCCGGAGCATGTTTGACTCCTTTAAGCAACAACTGCATTCCCATGTTGGTTTGCAAGCAAACATCACCAACACCAATCACCTTAGACACACCATCATTACCCATCTTCAACACTCCAAAGTCACCTGAAGTATAAGATGTAAAGAACTTCATCCGCGGTGTAACATGCAATGTAGCACCACTATCAATTATCCACATGCTCTCATCTGATACAAGATTAACAGACTCATGGTCACGGAGAATAACAAGATCATCACTAGTAGCAGTAGTGACACGATCATCATCATCATGATCCCTCTCTTTCTGCTTACCCTTCTTGCTTTTGTTCTCCCTTTTCCGCATAAAACAATTCTTCTGTATGTGCCCTGTTTTGTGACAATAATGACACTCCACACTCTTGTATCGAGACTTGGACTTTCTCCTGCTCTTCTCTCTACCACCCTTCGGTTCTTTTCTTAGACTTATCCCCCTATTTTCAGTGACAAGCACCTCGGACTGAGATGAAGAACCCTGTACCTTCCTTCTCATCTCCTCATTAAGAACACTACCCTTTGCCATTTCCAAAGAAACAACACCATTAGGGGCTGAGCTCGTGATAGAAACCCGAAATGTCTCCCAAGACTCTGGTAGAGATAACAATAGAAATAGTCCCAAAAGCTCATCATCAAACTTGATACCCATTCCTGCATCTGATCAAGGAGCCCTTGAAATTCATTCAAGTGATCTGAAATGGAAGTCCCCTCCTTGTACCTCAAACTAGTAAAGTTCTTCAGCAAGTATAATTTATTATTCCCTGATTTAGAGGCATACAAGGACTCTATCTTCGCCCATAAAGATTTTGCATGTGTCTCATTTGCAATATGATTATAAACATTATCTTCTACAAATTGCCGAATAAAACCACACACCTGTTGATTTTCAAAATCCCATTCTTCATCCGACTTGGCATCTGGCTTCTGAGTAGCAAAAACAGGAAGATGCATATTCTTCACAAATAGCAGATCCTTCATCTTGCCCTTCCACAAATGATAATTAGTGCCATTCAAACAAATCATCTTTGTATTTGCCTCCATCATTCAAGCAAGTCAAAATGCCCCAAACCAAGTAGCTCTGATACCACTCTGATAGGGGAACAACAATGCAATACGCAACGGAAACA